GGGGGGGGGGGGGGGGAAGGCGACAACCGGGAACCTGGCCCCAGGTCCGGGAATGCTTGAGCCGTAAACACAGGTGCTCTGAGAGCGGCTCGTCCCTCCACAATTGCCTCCTTGACATTTTTAAACTGGTGTTGTGGAAACATCCCTCTGTTGCTGCTTGGCTTTTCTGAAAACATTTGTTTATCAACTTTACTGATAGCATTTAAAAAGAATGCTTTTCACCGGCTGGATTTTTTTTTTCACCCCCTTTTGTGTCACCGCAGTGTTCTTTGGGTGAAGTTATTTACTTAAGCTATTTATGTTCTACCTGCCTTTTAACTGAAAGAAAGTCCCCGAGGTGGCACCCTTACGAAAAGCAAAAGGAACATCACTGCAATCATTTTAAAACAGAAAGTTACTACATTAAATGAATACAGTCCGTAGCACAGGAGAGGGCAAGAGAACACAATGCTGTCGCAACAGCAGCAGGCAGAAAGTCAACCACCCTGTTCCAGGACATCTGGGCGAAGGAAACCAGGTTATTACAGGAGAATCCTCCCAACGGGGTGCGCTTGGTGGCCGGAAAGACTCTGCTGCCAGTGGTGTCTTTTCATACCCTAGAAGCTCCGGGGCTGGCTGATATTCCCCCCCACCCCAGGTCGCTGGTTTTTATGCCAATGGGAGCAACAAGGCTGTGGGTGCAAAATCAAAGAAGGCAGTTTAGCAGGAAAAAGTCACCCCAGAAGCTCCAGCCGGCCCTGCGTTAGTTGACACAGAAGCTGAGGGAGGCCATCCTTAGAAAGCCAGTGCTGGGCTGGGGAAGACGTTCACGGGATCCCGCAAGAGCCACAAACAAGTCAAGCTTTCCAGCTCTCCAGAACTCTTTACCAAGCCAAGGAAATGGAAAACTTGGGGTTGAAGCAGATTGCCCAAAACTAGGCCAGGTGTTACGCCCTCCCCCCCCTCTGGAAACACACCGCCCTCAAGGCATGAAACTGATCCCTTGACAGACTCCCCTCTGGGGGGGGGGGAAGAAGAGCCTCCCTCCCCTCCCCTCCCCCCCATTTCAGCCAAAGGCTCTGGGCAAGGCGGGAGGTCTCTTTGCAGGCTTAGAGCAGGAAAAAAAATTTGGAGCAAAGTTGCAGCCTTTACACCAACAAAGCAGGAGATCAGGGATGTTGGCACCTGCTTGGAAAATCCATTGTCACACCCCGGAAACAGGAAGGTCTGTTAGCCAGTTGGCTGGTTGGAAAGTCGCGTCTCCAGCGGCTGGGGTGCAAACAAAGCCAGCGTGGAGCTGCTCACAATCAGCCCGAAGGCAAAGCGAGCTCGTCTGGAGTCTGTAGGAAGGAGACCCACGAAGATCCCAGTTTGCTGCCTTTTTCACATGTGAGATCACCTCCTTGCAAGATTGCCACTTCTTACCTGTTTTGGCCAGGAGAGATGCTAAGGCCAGCATTTGGACTCTGAACCCAGAATGATGAAAGAGCCGTGTGGCTCGGGGAGCCGCCTCCCCACCCAGAACACTCATTAGCATCACCCAAAAAGCATAAACCTGTCCGCCAGTTTCCTCTCATGTCCAAACTTGCTCAACCAGCGACATCAGGAGATCTCAAAAGGAGAGGCGTGGCAGTTTTGGGAAGAGGAAAGGAAGGGCCCGGGCGAAGACATTCTGAGAGGTGGGGTTTTGTGACGAGGGTGGCGCCCAAGACACAAGGGGCCCCGCCATGGACCGGCAGGGCCAGGAATAATGTGGGTGGCCGGAGGAGCGTTCAGCCACGCTTCGTCTCTGTCTGTTACAAACACAAGTGATGGGGGGGGGCTTCCATGTACACAGAAAAGGAGGCTCCTTCGTACGCTGTCCTCACACCGGGTGCAGGACGCTGCCTTGGCTCACCCTATCAGGGTCAAACCCTGCCTGTTCCTTATGCACCGGCAGGGCCAGGAATAATGTGGGTGGCCGGAGGAGCGTTCAGCCACGCTTCGTCTCTGTCTGTTACAAACACAAGTGATGGGGGGGGGCTTCCATGTACACAGAAAAGGAGGCTCCTTCGTACGCTGTCCTCACACCGGGTGCAGGACGCTGCCTTGGCTCACCCTATCAGGGTCAAACCCTGCCTGTTCTTTATGTCACAGTCACAGGGAAGGCCACTGCGATTCCAGCAGGCCTCGGGTGGCTTGCTTGATGACCAACTGCAAAACAATGCCAGGGAGTTTGCAAACTGCAGGAAGGGGGGAAAGATGTGATCATCTGCGGACTTTCAGCACTTAAGGAACGCCTTCCTCTACTCCCTGTCCCACCAGGTTTGGTGCCCAGCAGTCTTACTGGTGCCCTCACCTGGGGGGGAGTGTGTGCAATGGAGAAGCCCCATCTCCCCTGAGCTGTGCCATAAAGCACCCCAAAGGCCTGCTTGGGGAGGTCTGAGGCTCCCTAGAGAGTGTGGAAGCGAGAGGTGCAGACCCTGGACCCCACCCTCGTCGGCTGGCGAGGAACATTCTCACCCGGCACCTGTCCTGAACACCCTCTGTGACAGCCTCCGGGCTGCCAACTTCGGTGTTGCGCACTCTGTGTTTACACAGCTTGGGACGGCCGGTGCCGGGAAGGTGTCCCGGCCATTGTCTCGGAGCCCACGGCTGGCTGGCCTCGCCAATTGTCAACTGTGGACATGAGGTGTTCCCTCAGCATCTCATTGAGAAAAACACAGCTGCCGGTGGCTCCCTTGCACCAGCCCGTCTGGGCCTCGTGAGGTGAGGTCAGCGTTGGTGATGCGCACGAGGAACAAAACAAAGCACGGAGACCGGCCAGGAAGGAAAAGGACTCCCAAAAGGAGTGGTTGTGCCAGAGAGCAGAGTGCCTCTAGACATGTGCAGAGTGGAGTCCCTGCCTTAACCCTTCCAGAAACAAGGCTTTGGGGTCAAAGGTAGGGACTTCAGCCTAGAAAATTTTGCCTGAGCAAGTCAGGAATACGGTGGTGGGAGGACGGAGGACAGGGGAACCCTCTTTCCCTTGGGTGTCAAGGAACAGGGGATAGAAAATAGTTCACTTCATTACACTCCATATTTCCTTCCTTCCTTCCTTCTTGATTTGCTGTTCCAAACAGTATTTGTGGCACCTTAGAAAGATCCTTTGGAAATCCTTTGGAGGACCGGCCAGGGCAACGAAGGGGTGACAAGGCCTTCCTGGCTCTCACGCCCACCCGCCCGCCTGAGGGGAAAGAGTGGGGGGCCCTGCCTCAGGGGGCGGCACAGGGAGGGCCTGAGCAGAGCCAAGAGCGACCCCCTGGCCTCTCAGTCATAATAGGGAAGGGTGACCCAGAGACGCCCGCCATCCCAATCATCTTCTCGCCCTTGGTTGGTCCTCAAGAACCGCTGCTGTTCCCTTAGACAGGGAGAGCCCCGGAAGCCCGAGTCCCCGCAGAAGGCAGGGCAGGCGGCGGGTGTTGGCGGAGGCCCCCCAGAAGCGTCAAGAGGGGCCGGCCTCCCAGGCAA